CCCACCCTGCTCCTGCCCCCCCCCACCCTCCCAGACCCACCAACCCCCAACACCCTAAGCCTGCTTCCCAGCAGTCCCCTCCCACACACTGAACCCCTTATTTTTGGCCCCACCCCAGAGTCTTGGGAAGGCCATGAAATCTACTAGCCCAGACCCCCCCAGACTTGGGGGGTGGTGGAATGTGGGAAGCGTCTTTCTGCTTCTCGGTCGGGGGCCACATCAGTGAGGGGGTTTTGTTTTTGGGGCGGCGTTTTAGTTTCTCACTTGTGCCGCCGCCCACCCAAACAGGGTTCCCCACCCCTGATTCTGGAGCGGTGTTTCTCAACCAGTGGTACCAGTACCCTTAGGGGTGCTCGAGAGATGTCCGGGGTGGGGGGGGGTACGTCAACGCAACTGACATTTGGAGAAAACAGAATTTTTGTTTTACGTTTTACAGCACTTTATTATTTTTGTACTTTTTACACCCAAAAATGTCATCGCCCGCCCGGCTACGATTAAGTTGTTTAAACAAATGTGTTGCAATGGTAGAAAAAAAAGTGCGTGTCTGCAAACTGTAGGTACTGGGGGTACTTATCATTTTTTAAGGGGTGCTTTATAGAAAAAAGGTTGAGAAACGCTGCTCTAGACCATCCTCGACGGGGAAAAATCTCTACGGACAGATATTCCCCAACTGGCACGTTGTCCCAGGGCTTCCCCACCCGGACGGTTCGCAAGTTTTGCCTCATGTCCAACTTAAACCGCCCTCGCTGCAAGTTAAGCCCCAGGCCTCTTGTCCTATCCTCGGAGGCCAAGGAGATCCATTTGCCTCCCTGCTTCCTGTAACAACCTTTGATCTGCTTGGACACCGTGGTCTCCTTCACTCCCCTGGGGCAGCCAGTTCCCTGGCAAACTCCCTGGAGCCCTGAATTAAAAACCCCTTTGTCCAGCGGATGGGGGCTGGGGTGTCCCTGCTGCTGACGGAGTCATCTCCCCCACCCCGATCCCGCTAACTCGCCCCCCAGGTCCACCCAGGGCCCACCCTGTCCCAGACAGATGGGCAGGCAGGGGCTGGGCCCAGTGGGTGCAGCATCTTGGCCCCGGGGTACGTGGGGCTCTGACTCGTGCCCCTGAAGCTCGTCCTGCGGCTGGACCAGGGTGAGCCCGTCCCGCCCTCTCCGCTGCCCTGCAGGAGCGGGACCTGATGAAGACCTTCCGCATCCCAGCTGACACCTTCATCACCTACATGATGACCCTGGAGGACCACTACCGGGCCGACGTGGCCTATCACAACAACATCCATGCTGCAGATGTGGTCCAGTCCACGCACGTCCTGCTGTCCACGCCGGCTCTGGAGGTGAGGGGGTGGGGAGGGCTCCGAGGCTGCAGGCTGGGCGGCCAGTGGGACTGCGCTAGCGGTGGGACCCGTGGAGGGGAGGAAGCGGCACGTCAGCTCTGCTGCCCGGGCTCCGTCTGCCCCATGTCACAAGCCACCCAACCCCAGGGAGGTTTGCCTGTCCTTTAATTAAAGACTGGAAGGGACCTCGAGAGGTCACCTACTCCAGCCCCCTACTCCAGCCCCCACCTACACCCCAGGGACCACATCCAGCCCCTGGCTTGCCTGGGTCTGGCCCCCGAGGCTCGGGGTTCCCCCCCAGTCTTGGGGAGCCAGCATTGGCACTCCAGCTCTCAGCCCCCTTCTCCCCAGTCTGCTCCTGCACCCGC